AAAAAAAAAAAAAAAAAAAGCCAGGCGTGGTGGCACATGCCTGTAATCTCAGCTACTCAGGAGGCTGAGGCAAGAGAATCGCTTGAACCTGGAGGTTCAACCTCAGGAGGCAGAAGTTGCAGTGAGCCCAGATGGCACCACTGCACCCCAGCCTGGGTGACAGAGCGAGACTCTGTCTCAAAAAAACAAAAACAAAAACTCCTACTTGCAAGAGCACTGCATGCTCGGGAGGAACTAGGGAGGGGCCGTGGCATGGACACCAGGGAAGCGCTGGCTTTAGCTAGGCGATCAGGAAGGTACCGCTCCTTCATTACTCATGTCACCTTTGTACTTGGCTGTCATCTGTCTCCCCTACTAGACTTCGGCTCCCTGAAAGCAAGAGTCATAGCTGCTTGGTTCCCCATTGTCTCCCCAGAGCCTGGCACAGGAGTGCTTAATAAATATTTGGTGAATGAATGAATGCCAATTTGGGCATCCTCAAGATAGGAAGGTGGTTACAGGCTGGGGTGGGGGGGGACATTCTTCGGGGAGAATATATGGAAGGGAAAGAGCAGGAGACCTGGGAAGACCATGGGAGAGGAGCCTTAGAAAGGAAGAGATCTGGGGACCTGGGAGAGGCTGGGGCCAAGGACGCCTCACCTTTTCCTCGTGCCCATACATGCTCCCTGCAGCTTCTAGCTCTTCCTGATGAGCTGGAAAGGACTCTGAGGACCTATCGCTTCCAACACCAGAGGTCCCTAGAGTCTGGACCCAGGAGGCCACCCTGGGACATAGGGACTCAGATGGAACCTGAACTTCTTCACACCTGAAACCCGTGACCCCATCCTCCATACCTGAAAACCCCTGGCCCCATCCTTCTCTGCTGGGACTTGGCTCAGGTCCTGGGTGTCAGTCACTCCAGGAAGCATACCTTGACTCCCAGTCTGGGTTAAGAAGCCACCTTCTGGCTTCTATAGCCCCCAGTGCTTCCTTCAGTCACACCCTGGCCACACCAAGTGTCATCCTCTGTCCAAGTATCTGCCTCCTCAGCCTGGGGCTCTCCAGGACAGTGAGCCTCACTTATCTCTAGACCCAGCACCACCCAGCACAGGGCTAGGCTGGGAGAAGCCTCAGTTGGTGGCAGATGGGCCAGCAGGGACAGTAAGTAATGGCTCTGAATGCGCTGATTGTTCTGCCTTGACTGGGACACCTAGTGGTGGGAGTGAGAAAGGGTTAAGCTGAGGCTTAACCCTTTCTACATGAAGCATTCAGCTGATCCAAGATGTTGTGGGTCAATAGTAAGACAGAAGCTGTACCTTAGTGCCCAGAACCAAAAGGTGGGCACAGCTGGCACTCTGGGTAGAACTCCATCCCTCAAGGCCCTTTAATAGGGGAAAAAATCTAGGAACCAAAGGCAGTGCAGGAGGGGAGCAGATTAAGCTTGTTCCTTTCCTTCTTTCCTTTCCTTCCCTCCCTCCCTCCCTCCTTCCTTTTCTCTTTCTTTTCTCTTTTTTCTTTCTCCTTCCTTCCTTCTCTTTCTTTCTTCCTTTCTTTTCTTTCTTCCTTTCTTTTCTTTCTTTTTTTTTTTTTGAGATGGAGTCTCATTTTGTTGCCCAGGCTGGAGTGCAGTGGCGCCATCTCTGCTCACTGCAACCTCTGCCTCCCGAGTTCAATCGATTCTCCTGCCTCAGCCTCCCCAGAAGCTGGGATTACAGGCGTGTGCCATGCCCAGCTAATTTTTGTATTTTTAGTAGAGACGGGGTTTCACCATGTTGGCCAGGCTGGTCTCGAACTCCTGGCCTTAAGTGATTCACCCGTCTTGGCCTCCCAAAGTGACATGAACCACCGTAAGAGCTTATTTCAAGAATAAAGGGAAGGGTGGGCACAGTGGCTCACACCTTTGGGAAGCCAAGGCGGGAGGATCCCTCGATCCCAGGAGTTCGAGGTTGCGGTGAGCTATGGCACCACTGTACTCCAACCTGGGTGACAAAGTGTGACCTCATCTCTTAGGACAAAAGAAAACAAAGCAAAACATAGAACTGAAGGAGTAATGAGGGCGGGAAGATTCGGTGGGGCCTCAGTTGGGGCTCTTGTCCTGGCTCTGCCACTATCTGTACAGTCCTGCGCGGGTCGCCACCCTTTCCAGCCTCAGGCTCATCTGATACTTGAAGCAGGAAGTGCAGGAGTGGCTATCTGCAAGGGCTGAGGCTGCAGGTCCCGCTGCGGCCACAGGGCAGTGGCCTAGAGACGGCCGGGGACAGAGCCAATGCGGGGGCGGGGCGTCAGGGCCAGGCTCCCGCGCGCATTCAGAGACAGCACGAGGGAGACGTGGAATGCGTGTGTTTATGTAGGTAGAAAAAGTGCACAGAACAGTGAGGGTGCAGGGAGCAAGGACGTCCTGGTCTGGCCTCCGATTCGCTGGAATTGCAAGGACCCTCCCCCAGTCAGGGGGCCCCCTCAAGGGTGGGAATAGAGAGTGGAGGCTCGCACAGGAGCTCTCGTCTGTGTGCGATTCACTTTGTGGGTGTGTGGGTTTAGGTCTGGCTGGGCCTTTTCTGAACTTGACCCCTAAGGACTCAGAGTACCTTAGGGGCGGGGCTCTCCAGTGGGTGGGGCCTCACACTCTGAAAGCGAGGCCTCTGGGTCTGCAGGACCCGCTTTACCGGGAGGGCGTGGCCTCCGGGGGAGAGGGCGAGCCCAGCGGGCTGTCAGCCGAAGAGCTTCAGGAAGCAGGGCTGGCAGTAGGGCTTGCCGGCGCGCTCCTGGAAGGAGCCTTTGGTGAGCGGGCGCAGGCAGAAGGTGCATGTGAAGTGATCCGGGTGGAAGCGGCGGCCCAGGGCCGACACGCAGCGGCCGGTAACTGGGAGGCCACACGTGGCGCACAGCGAGCCGCGCCGTGCGTGGAAGTGGTTCTCGCACAACGGGCGGCCCTCGTGCTCGAAAAAGCTGCCTCCCGAGAAGGGCGCGAAGCATTCCTGGGGAAGGGAGGCCGCGAAAGAGGACAGAAAGGTCAGCGGCCCCCGCCAGACAACGCGCGTTACTAGCGGATAACGCCATGGGACCTCGCCGCCCTTCCTAGACGCGAAGCCTCCCGTCCAGTGGGACCCTGCCAGGAAAACTCGCCCAACCCGAGGCTCCTAGCAGCACCTCCAGTGACCCGCCCCTCCAAGGCCCCGTCCCACAGCCCTGCACCCTTGACCCGCCCCTCCAACGCCCCGCCCCGCAGCGCGCACCCTGCAGACGAAACAGTCCGGGTGCCAGAGCGCGCTAAGCGCCGAGATGTAGTTATCCAGGATGGGGCCCTGGCAGCCCTGGCAGCGCGGGGCGAACAGCTGCAGGAAGTCCCGGCGGCAGTAGGGGCGGCCCTCGCGCTCGTGAAAACCTAGGAGAGGGAACCGAGTGGGCTGAAGGCAAAGGGTGCGGGCGGGACGGGGAACCCACAAGACCTGAGATCTGGGGCGGGAGGAGGGGCAGTCCGAAGGAGGCTTGGGGAAGGAGGAGCCGGGTCTGGGGCGGGACGGAGCGGGAGGGCTTGGGTCCGGAGTCTGTGTGGGAGAGGGCAGGGCTAGAAGAGAGCAGAAGGAAAACCATGGCCCTAAGGACTCCGGAGATCGGAGGGGCTGGGGCGAGACGTCGAGGGGACCCGCAGCTTTTAAGGTGGGAGTCAAGTTCACTCTCACCCTCATCTCCGAAGGGCTCCCCGCAACTGACGCAGCAGAAATGCTCTGGGTGCCAGTGAGTGCCCAAGGCGGTCACCATTTTCTGCAGGGAGGGAGAGGACACTCAGCGCGGCCTCCGTGCCTTCGCGCCTTCCTCTCCCGCGCGGAACCCGGGTGACTGGGCTAAGGCATGCGTGTGGGGAGGGGGAGAAGATCTAACTAGGAACGTGGGAGTCAGAAAGGAAGAGTGGAGTCCAAGGGGCCGTGGACATTGCCAAGGGGTAGGGGTAGGGTAGCGCGGGTGGGGCGGGACCCATGCGGTGGAGGCCCGTCCCACAGCTCTCCGGGTGAGACAGGGCGGGCTCAGTGCGGCCGGGCAGAGCTCACGTGTCGGATGGGCTGGTTGCAGAAGCCACATCTTGGCGAGAAGCGCTCAAAGTAGCACTCGGGGCAGAAGGGGGCTCCATCCTTCTCGAAGAAGCTGCTGCCTCCCAGGGCGGTGGAACAGCCTCCGCAAACGAAGTGCTCGGGGTGCCAGGCGCGGCCCAGAGCCGTCACCACCTGCGAGTGGGAGGTGAGGCGTGGTCAGAGCGGCTCTGACGGCCACATGCCCAGCGAGGCAAGGTTTACGCGGCGTTTTTCGAGTCCTCTCTGAGCGATCAGAATAAAGAATCCAGTGTTCCAGATCACGCAGCCTGTAAGCGATGGAGATCCAGCTCCCATCTTCCACCTGCGCTCCAGGATTGACCTATACATGAGGCACAGCAGGCACAGAGCCTGGAGCCCACAATACATTTAGGGGCCCATAAAAACGTTTTACCTATTTTTAAATCAGAGTTAAGACCAGGCTGGGTGGCTCGTGCCTCTAATCCTAGCATTTGGGAGGCTGAGGTGGGAGGATTACTTGAGCCAAAGAGTTTGAGACCAACCTGTGCATCATGGCGAAACCCTATCTCTACAATAAATAAATAAAATTAGCCGGGCGTGGTGTCGGGCGCCTGTAGTCCCAGCTACTCGGGAGGCTGAGGTGGGAGGATTGCTTGAGCCCAGGAGGTCGAGGCTGCAGTAAGCCATGATCGCACCACTGCACTCCAGCCTGGGTCACGGAGTGAGACTTCGTCTCAAAATAAATAAGAGGGAGGAAGTGAAAAATCAGTTTTTAAAAATTCAGAATAAAAAAATGAACTAGAAGAAAATGCTTTAATATATAATAATAACATACCCATCTTTATACCAACACAGGCATAAAAAACTATGTATTTTAATGGACAAAGGGATTCATGAAGATGAAAGTGCCTATGATTTACAAAAGTCACAATGCCACCCTCCTTTGCTGAGATGGGCAATTCTGGGCTAGGAGTCAGGTACTTGATCTAGCAGGGGGCACTAGGTTAAACCCTAGGCACAGCTGTTGTCAATCACATCTGCTCAGTCAATAAGCCAGGGACCAGTGAACCCAGTCCAGACTCTGATGGAGGAAGAGAGAGCCTTTGCAGATGCATAAGAGATGGTGAGTGGAGTCACTGAGTGTTTTGTGAAGATTGGATGAGATGAGGGTTTGTAAAGGAGCTGGCACAGTGCCTGGCACACAGTAGGACCATAATAAATGGTAACATGGTTGGAATTTTCACCCTACCACTAATCTGCTGTGTGGTTCAGAGCTTCAGTTTCCTCATCCATAAAATATAAGTAACAATGATACCCACTTCCCAGATTAACTTATTAAAAGGCAACAGCATAAAGCCCAGCTCCCACTAAAGATGGATCTGTGATAGGTCTCTGCCTCCCTTCTCACAAGGCTCCACTTACTTGCCCAGCAATAGCTTTATTGCAGGAGCCACAGAGGCCCTTGGCCTGAGTGGGAACACCCCGGCGGCTGAGGTCAGACTGCAGCAGCCCCAGCATGGTGTCTAGGCTGCCCTTGCCAGTCGGCTCCGGTGGGGACGGGGAGCCCTCGTTTGTGGAGCTTGCCACTGGTGGCTGGGTTGGCCCAGAGGCTGGAAGCTGCAGCGGGGAGGACATGAGAATTGAGTCAGCAAGGCAGCAGATGTGGAATTGTCTAGAAGGGGTTGGGGAGCCACAAATGGACACTGGCCCACTGCCCAACTCACATGGTTTTGAACACGGAAGTCAGAGAGTGAGGCCATCAGTCTATCCAGCTCCAGAGTGGCCGAGGTGGCAGAAGGCTTTGGGAGGCCAGGAGATGGGCTGGAAGGGCTGTGAAGAACATGCTTGTGTCATCTCAGAGCCTCCCAGAGCAATGCTCCCTCTAGTGACTCAGACATCCAGGACTAATCTCCTCTCAGCCCTGACAACAATGCCAAACTCACAGGCTGGGTCTTTTCTTGTCTTCAGACTGGTCCTCCTTCTGCTCTCCTGAAGCCACCTTGCTAGATGGGAACTGAGACATGATTTCATCTGGAGAGAGGGGAGGAGGAAGCTGCATATAGGGCTGTGCTCAACGCACCCTCCCACTTGAGGCTTTAGGTCCCTTTAACTGCTACTCTGGGAAGTGTATTCTTCTTAGTCTCTGCCCTGCCCTTCCCTCCCCTGTCCCCATCCCATCAAGGTCTCTCTCAGTCACCCTGGTACCTGTGATGTTGAACTGGGTGGCATTAAGTTCCTGAAGCAACCGATCTAGCTCACAGAGCCCAGTACCCAAGACACCGCTGGAAGAGGAGAATGGAGGGGCCGCCGGGGCTGCAGGCTTTGGGGACCGAGGCTTGCATACCGTGCTGGGAAGCAGAGTGGGAGCCTGGGTTCAGGGGTGGGGAATCCAAGCCTCCTCACCTGTACGGATGAGCCTCAGTTGGCCCCCTATGCCCTGGTTGCCAGACCCCTCACCTGTACAGATGGTCCTTGTCCCCCGAGGCTCCTGAAGACTCCCCAGACCCTGTCTACAGAGCGGAGACGCACAGGTGGGATGACAGGCCTGCACTCTGCCCCACTCAGGCTGAGATCCCCCATACACTAGGCCGAGTCTGGCCCTAGTGGCTGCCCCGGGCCCCAACATCCGATCTCACCTGTGGCTGGTGGCCATAGGATGGGGGAGGGGTGAGAGGCTCTGCAGGGCGCTCTTTGGGAGCCCCTGACCTTGGCATGTGCGAGGTGGTAGTCTCCAGGTCAGAGAGCAGGGCGTCTGCAGGAAGAGGACATCAGGGAGAGAGACAGGGGTCACGGTTAGATCGGAAGAGAAGGTTCCCAGTGGGTAGTACTGGAGAAGGACAGAAGCCATTATTAAGAGCAGAGGTCAAAGGGCCAGAGCCAGGCAGAGCACTGCTCAAAGGGTAGCAAGGAATATTTATGACCGGAATATCCCAGTTGCTCACGCTGGGAGCCAAGCACAAACCCAGCCTCCTGACTATTTTATTCTCCCCATCTTCTCTGATGCAGTCAAAATGGGCTCTTCAACCAAGCCAAATTTGGCTCCCCTCCAAACTGCTCCATTGGCCCAGTGCCTGGCCCCCAGCTTTCTCACTGGACGCTCTCTCTTCAGTGCTCCTTAACTCCTCCCCCTACCTACACAGGCCCCGCCCAGCCGAGCCACTACCAGGCCCCTGAGTCCCGCCCTGCGCTCCTCACTGGCGCTTCGCTGGGACCTGTCTTCTGATTGGCTGCTTCTCTGCCGTACCGCAGTTACCCCTACCGAGCAGCGCCCTCTACCGCCGGGGGCCGGAATCCCCTCTCTCCGGTGGAGCGCACAGCCTTCCAGCTCCAGGCTCCGCAGGGAGGACGAGATACCTGGGTCCTCCTTTCCGGACAAGACACCACTCTCCATCCCTGCATACCGAGATCCGGGTCCTTTGAGCCCCTTCACTTCCAGAACCCAGAAGTCCTGCCCTCAGTCTTCGTCTCTGAGCACCCGCGTGAAACCCTGAAGCCTTCGCGGGCGCCTAGGCACTCCTGAGCTACTATTCTCTTCCTTCCTCCAAGGACCCGACCCTCACCGTGCTCAGGAGCCCTTAACTCCTCCTCTCCCAAAACCCTGGCGCAGGCAGGCCCTCTTTTTTTCTCCAAAACTTGGTGCCAGACTTTCCCGTGCCCTCTACTTTCCCGGTCCCCGGGCCGAGGCCCCTTTAACCCCTCCCTCCCCAGAGCCCCGCGCCCGGGCGCCCGCGGGCGCCGCACCTCCCGTTCCACCCTCCGCAGCCTGGGATGGAGGAGCGGAGCGAGGGAAGAAGGGAGGGAGCGGCCGGCCCGGGAAAGGCAGGAAGGGAGAGGCAGGAAGGGGGACGTGGAGTTGGAAAGGAGGCGCGGGCAGAGGCGAAAAGCAGAAGCAAGAAGACAGGGATGGGGAGATGCGGGAGAGCGACGGCGGGGAGGCAGATCTGGGTAGCGGTGAGGGGCCACGGACCCGGGGATCCGGCCCCACTCACCCAGGTCCTCCATGGCGGGGCGCGGGCGGGTGGCGCGGGGCGAACAGGGCGGGGGCCGTGTCCGGTGGGGGCGGGGGGCGGGGGACGTCCGGGAGCTGGAAGCCCGGCCGTGACCATGTAAGGAAGCCGGGACCCGCTGGGATGGGGATGGGGGGGCGACGAACGGGGGAACCCGAGGTAGGGGCGTGGAAAGGAGGGAGCGCCCCGGCCCACCCGAGCCCAGCCCGCCGGCCTGCCGGGGAGGCGGCCACACCCCAGCCTTGGCCTCAGCTGCAGGGAGCCCCAGGAGGCCAGTGCCAGAAAGAAGTGGCTTCTCCAGACCAAGCCCCGTAGCCGCTCCCTAGGGAGACTTACAGACATGGACTGCAGCCCCCAAGCAGACACCCCGCACAGCCAGAGCCTGAGTCCTAGACAAGAGGCTCCCTCCCACCCATGCCATTCCTGGGAGACTTGTCCCAGACGGAATTTTTGGACTGGTAGCAGGAGAGATGTTCTAAGGCTCAGACCTCAGATTCAGAGACCTTCCCATCGGAGACCCTGACAGATTAAATAGAGGCCCCAAGAGGCATACATACCAGACACAAAGAAATCTCAAGGACAGGGACAGACACAGTGAACCCACCCACAGACTCTACACTGGGACCTTCCCTCCAAGACTTGGTCATAGACACAGGTAAACTCGAACCCCGGGCGCAAGCCCTTTGCAAATTCGGGGAAAACACTCGCAGGCAACCAACCCCCAGCCACAGCCACAAAGTAGCAAGGCTTCCCTGGACTGAGACCCTGAGAAACGAGGTGGAAACAAGAGGCCCTAGAGGTAGCCGTGGACCGACAACTGTGCAGCAGCCACTCTCTTGGACAGATCTGGGCACTGGACTGTGGGTCTCAACGCAGGAGCAAATCAGAACAACCTGGGGAGCTTTTTAAAATGCCAGACGGGAATGGTGGCTCACACCTAGAATCTCAGCACTTTGGGAGGCCAAGGCGAGCAGGTCACTTGAGGTCAGGAGTTCGAGACCAGCCTGGCCAACGTAATGAAACCTCGTCTCTACTAAAAATACAAAATTAGCCATGCGTGGTGGCAGGCGCCTATAATCCCAGCTACTTGGGAGGCTGAGACACGAGAGAATTGCTTGAAGCCGGGAGGCGGAGGCTGCAATGAGCTGAGACTGTGCCACTGAACTCCTGGGCGACAGAGGAGACCCTGTCTCAAGAATAAAAAAGAAAAAGAAAAAAAAAAAAGGGCAAATGACCTGAATAGACAGTTCAATACGTTACATAAATAGCCAATAATTACGTGAAAATATCCTCAACATCATTAGTCCCCAGAGAAATGCAAATCAAAACTACAATGAGACGCTACATCATACCTATTAGGATGGCAATAATAAAAAAGACAGGTAATTAGGCCAGGAGTGGTGGCTCATGCCTGTAATCCCAACACTTTGGAAGGCCGAGGTGGGTGGATCACCTGAGGTCAGGAGTTCAAGACCAGCCTGGCTAACATGGTGCAAACAGTCTCTACTAAAAACACACAAAAAACTTAGCTGGGCATGGCGGCAGGCGCCTGTAGTCCCAGCTACTTGGGAGACTGAGGCAGGAGAATCCCTTGAACCTGGAAGGTGGAGGCTGCAGTGAGCTGAGATTGCACCACTGCACTCCAGCCTGGGCAACAGAGCGAGACTCCATCTCAAATAATAATAATATTTTAAAGGCCAGGCTTGGTGGTTCATGCCTGTAATCCCAGCACTTTGGGAGGCCGAGGCAGGCGGATCACCTGAGGTCGGGAGTTTGAGACCAGCATGGTTAACCTGGTGAAACCCCGTCCTACTAAAAATACAAAAATTAGCTGGATATGGTGGCAGGCACCTATAATCCCAGCTACTCAGGAGGCTGAGGCAGGAGAATCACTTGAACTCGGGAGGCAGAGGTTGCAGTGGGCAGAGATCGTGTTAGCCTGGCTAACATGGTAAAACCCAGTCTCTACTAAAAACACACACAAAAAATTAGACGGGCAAGGTGGTGGGCGCCTGTATTTCCAGCTACTTGGGAGGCTGAGGCAGAAGAATACTTTGAATCTGGCAGGCAGAGGCTGCAGTGAGCTGAGATCGTGCCCCGGCACTCCAGCCTGGGCAACAGAGTTAGACTCCATCTCAAATAGTAATAATAATACTATTTTAAAGACCAGTCTCGGTGGTTCACGCCTGCAGGCCGAGGCAGGCGGATCATCTGAGGTCGGGAGTTTGAGACCAGCCTGGTTAACTTGGCAAAACCCTGTCTCTACTAAAAATACACAAATTAGCTGGGCGTGGTGGCAGGCAGCTGTAATCCCAGCTACTCGGAAGGCTGAGGCAGGAGAATCACTTGAATTAGGGAGGCAGAGGTTGCAGTGAGCAGAGATCGTGCCACTGGACTCCAGCCTGGGTGACAGAGTGAGACTCCGACTCAAAAAAAAAAAAAAAAAAAAAAACCTGAGAAAAAGAGGCATTTAACAAGTTTTTGTGAGGATGTGAAGACATTGGAACCCTCACACATAGCTGGTTGGAATGTAAAATCATTCACTAACTTTGGAAAATAGTCTGGCAGTTCCTCAGATGTTTAAACATAGAGTTATATGATCCAGCAATTTCCCTTCTAGATATGTAACCAAGAGAAATAAAAGCATATTCCACAAAATACTTGTACATGAGTATTCATAGCAGCATTATTCATAGTAGCCCCAGAGTGGAAACAACCCAAATGTCCGTCAACTGATGATTGAAGAAACAAAAGTGGCATATCCATGTCTTAAGTCTGTTTTGTGCTGCATCATGGAATACCTAAGGCTGGATAATTTATAAAGAACAGAGATTTCTTTCTTTGTGTTCTAGATGCTGGGAAGTCCAAGGTCAAGGGCCCTGCATCTGGTGAGGGCCTTCTTTCTGCCTCATCCCACAGCAGAAAGTGGAAGGGTAAGACAGTGCAAGAGAGGGGGTGGGGTGGGGGCAGAACCCATCCATTTATCAACTGTCCACTCCCTTGATAATGAACCTACTCATGCAATAATGCCATTAATCCATTCATGAGGGAAGAGCCCACATAACCTAATCACTTCTTGAAGTTCCCACCTCTCAGCAGTTGCACTGGGGGTTAAGTTTCCAACACATGAACTCTGCGGGGACATGTTCAAACCACAGCAATTCATAAAGTGAAACTGTATTATTCCTAATAAGAAGAAATGAGATGATACAGTGTGGATGAACCTTGAAAACATTATGCTATGTGAAAGAAGCCAGACACAAAAAATCACGCACTGTATGATTCCATTTATATGACATGTCCAGAATAGGTCATCTGTAGAGGTAAGATGTAGATTAGTGGTTGCCTAGGATTGGGGGAAAGGGAGTGTTATGGACTGAATGTTTGTGCCTCTCCCACTTTTATACACCAAAGTTTAACTCCCAGAGTGACTATATTTGAAGATAGGGCGTGGCTGGGCGTGGTGGCTCACGCCTGTAATCCCAGCACTTTGGGAGGTCAAGGCAGGCAGATCACCTGAGATCAGGAGTTCGAGACCAGCCCGGCCAACATGGTGAAACCCTGTATCTACTAAAAATACAAAGCTAGCCGGGCATAGTGGCACCTGTAATCCCAGCTACTTGGGAGGCTGAGGCGCGAGAATTGCTTGAACCAGAAAGGCGGAGGCTGCAATGAGCCAAGATTGCACCACCACACTCCAGCCTGGGTGACAGAGCAAGATTCCAAAAATAAAAATAAAATAAAATACTGATGCCCAGTCCAATGTGAGTAAAAAGGTCCCAGGCATCGATAGTTTTTCAAAGCTCTCTGCTTGGTTCTAATGCATAGCCTGAAAACCAGAGACCTGGACCAACACTCACAGAGGCTCAGAGACAGCAAGTGTCAACCTCAGCTGCCCAGAAGCAGACCTTGGCAGGCCCAGTGCAGCTCTCCCCAAAATCAGCCTGCCACTGAGGAGTCAAAAATCTGCAAGCCAATTATTAAAAAGTAAAAAAGCAACAGATGTTGGCATGAATGTGGAGAAAGGGGAATACTTATACACTGTTGGTGGGAATGTAAATTAGCTCGACCTCTATGGAAAACAGTATGGAGATTTCTCAAAGACCTACAACTCTATCATTTGACCCAGAAATCCCACTACCGAGTACCTACCCACAGGAAAAGAAATCATGTAAAAGACAGCTGAACTCGTTGTGTTCATTGCAGCACTATTCACAATAGTAAAGTCATGGACCCAACCTAAGTATCCATCAACAGTTGACTGAATAAAGAAAATGTTGGCTGGCACAGTGGCTCGTGCCTGTAAATCCCAGCACTTTGGGAGGCTGAGGCAGGAGGACTGCTTGAACCTAGGATTTTGACACCAACTGGGCAACATAGCAAGACCCTGTCTCTTTAAAAAAAATGAAAATGTGATACATATACACCATGGAATAGTACACAGCCTTAAAAAAAGAAATAATGTCCTTTGCAGCAAAGTGGATGGAGCTGGAGGCCATTATCCTAAGTAAACTAACCCAGGCACAGAAAACCAAATACTGCATGTTCTCCATTATAAGTGGGAGCTAAGCAATGGGTACACAGGGGCATGAAGATGGAAATAGACACTGGAGACTCCAAAAAGGGGGCGGGTGGGTGTGGGGCAAGGGCTGGAAAATTACCTATTAGGTATAGTGTTCACTCTTAGGGTAATGGGTTCACTAGAAACCCAATCCCCCCAGTACACAATACACCCGTGTAACAAACATGCACGTGTCCCTGAATCTAAAGCAAAATAATAGTTAAAAAAAAAAAAAAATCTGGAAGCCAGGTGATGGAGACCCTGCCTTGGAGACCAAAGCAATGTGAGCCCTTCCCTTTCCTCAATGCCAGCACAGGTCTTTGTCTGTCCCTGGGCATGAGATTCCCTCCACAGCAGGTCTTCCCTCAGACAGACAGCAGTAGGGCACATGGCCCAGGAGATGAAAAGGGAGCCAGAGAATGGGGACCCAAGATGGGCAACAGTCAGTAATGCAAAGGCCTTCAACACATCATCAGACTAACAGCATTCCCTCAGCACAACCCTTTCAGCCCCGAGCAAGGTCTGCGTGTCCAGTTGGGTTGCTGTGTCAGAGCAGTGAGGCCCTGACAGCAGGAAGCAGGCTTCCCCTGGGGCCCAAAACCACATCCTAAGCAGCAGCCTGGGAACTCAACCCTGTCCCAATACTTATTAAACTGTCACATGCAAGGGTGGTCTGTGTCCAGACACAAAGACCTGAAACAGACCCTGCTTGGTGGGCGAAGAAACAGAAGCAGACACACCACACGACACGGGTATCCAACTCCAAAGTGTTTAATCTCAACTCCAGAGGTCTGGGCCAGGCCAGGCACCTGGGGCCCTGGGCTGTTCTGCTTCTCTGGGCCCCATGCCCAGACCCTGGCCTTGGCTTCTCACTCCCAGGTCTTCAGATCGTCGTCATCCTGGGGTCCGGCTCCATGTTCTCACTGCTCCTCTATGACGACTCCTTCTGCTCAGCCTCTTCCCTTGCCAGTCTTAGGGAGGCTCCTTCACAGCCAATTCATCCTTGGGTCCCCTTCCCAGGGGACTTCAACAGTCTAGGCAGGGACCCTTGCCCCCAACTCGATCCCCATCACCACGGCCAGTAAAGCCTCTGTCAGGGGCCCTGCCTCTTCACCTGCTGCCTCCACAAGCCCCACCAGGGCCAGACCCCGCTTCCTCGGGCACTGCTCTGGCCCCAGTGTCCAGCGGGCACAGTGGGCAGCCAGCCGGGGCCGGCCCAGGCGAAACACCTCACCCACTGACTCTGGGCCACCCTGGGGTCCTAGGTGGATGCGGCCCACGGCCTCTTCCAGTTCCTCCTCCAGCCCAGGCAGTAGGAAACGGCCAGCAGCCTCCAGTGCCTCCTCGGCCTCTGAGCCCAGCAGGGGCTGGCCTGGAGGGGGCACGGGCCCCAGGGCAGCCCCACAGCCCCGACAACCATGCAAATGATGCAGGATAGGCCAGGCTGCGCCAGGTGACAGGCCTCGCAAGGGCACCAGGTCCATCTGGGCTTCTGCAAAGCTGCCTGACAGCAGGGCCCGGAAGAAAGGGGAGGCGGTGGCTGAGGCTGCTCGCTGGGCAGGGAGCTGGAGGCCTGAGTCCAGCAGGAAGTGCAGGTCGGGAGCTGGGACAGGGGCTGGGCCCAGCAGAGGTTCATAGAGGCAAGGGGACGGTGAGTCTAGGTCCATGGGGACTGCCTGTGGGACAGCTGGGCTCATGGTGGGAGACACCAGGTCTTGGAGGCAGGAAAGGGAGTCCGCGGCAAAGAAGAGGAAGAGCGGGTGTGGGGCCGGCCGGGTCAGCGCCGCAAGGAGGAGCCGGAGGCCACCCTGCTCCAGGAGCAGCCGGCGCCACAGAGCGGGCTTCCTACAGGGAAGAGAGGGCCTTTCAGAAGGTGAGAAACGGGCCTGGGAAACACAGCACTCCTCCCCAGCCCGGCAAGGCACCCACTTCCCACTCACCGGCAGATGAAGGGCAGGGTCAGCGCACAGGCCACGCGGTCCTCAGGGCTCCCGGAGAGTAAGAGGTGCGTGAGGGCCCCGACCCCGAAGGGCGACTCAGCCTGAACCGTCAGGTTCTGCAGTAGCCTCTCCCCTGCAAGTGGAAAGCTTGTCAGGCTGGGAGCTGGGGTCTGAGACAGGACTCTGGGCCCATGAGATGAAGGAGGGTAAAACCTCTGGGTGAGAAATCAGGGCACTGAAGAGGCAGTGCTGGGCTTGGGACACTGGGAACCTGAGGTCCAGGACCAGGACAGAAGGTGGGACGGTCAGGGTGTAAGTCTGGGCCCCTGAAGCAGCCTGTGGTCAGGGCACAGCAGACAGGGCAGTTCCTGGCAGTGCTGGGGGTGGTGGTGAGGGCGGGGTTCACACCGGTGGGGTTCACAGGTCAGGGTGCTGGTGGGGAGCAGTCAGGACAGCGCTGAACCAATGGCACAGCCACGAAAGAACCACAGACCGGCCTGGATCCTGGGCGTGGGGCTGCATCTGGAGTTAGGATATCTAGGCCCCAGGGTTTGGGCAGAGGACACAGCAGAATTCTGCCTGTAGGCCCATGGAGGGGCCAGAACGTCCTGCTCCCCACCCCACTCTGGTGACAGGTTGTCTGGAGGACGGGCTGGGGAGGACGGGTGAGTGGAAAGGTGAGGTTCTGAGCCCCTGGAAGCCATGGGGGAGGACGGCGACTCGCACGGGGGCAAGGAGACGGGTGGGTGTGGGAACTTACCCAGCTCTCGGTGGCGGCTGTGGAGAGTGGGCCGGGCACGTGGTGCCGGCCAATCGTCGGGCGCCACCCCCAGCACCAGCCAGGCCCGCAGCAGCGCTGCGCCATAGCTGCGCACAAAGGCCTCGAGGCAGGCAGGGTTGCAGGTGAGGCGCGACAGGATGCGCAGTGCACGTGGGCTGGGCGGGCCCGGTGCGCCGGTCACATAGGTCAGCAGGCCATACAGGGCCGGGCCGGTCACAAGTGCCCCGCTTGGGTCAGGGGCCTGGGAAAAGCGTGAAAGCAGCAGCAGGGCTGGCCCTTCGCGTCCCCAAGGCTCCTCGATGGCGGCGGCGGGGCTGCGGCTTGGAGTGCGCTGGGTGCGCGGTGCCCGCAGCGAGGTCGGGGTGAGGACCGGGCTGGCCGGCTCCACGGGCTCCGGTGGAGGACACTGCTCAGGAGACCAGTCGGGGGAGATGTCATCAGGGCCCGCGGCATAGCCCTCGGAGATCAGCCACGACCTGTGGAGGGAAGAAAGGAAGGAGACTGAACCCAGTGCCAAGGTGAAGGGGCAGAGTCCAAGAGGCCTAAGCGGTCTTTTTTTTTTTTTTTTTTTTAAAGAAACGTGGTCTCCCTCTGTAGCCCAGGCTGGAATGAAGTTGTGGGATCCTGGCTCACTGCAGCCTTGAACTCTTGAGCTCAAGTGATCCTCCCACCTCAGCCTCCCAAGTAGCTGGCACCACAGGTGTGTGCCCCCACACTCAGCTAATTTTTTAAATGTTTTGTAGAGATGGGTCTTGCTATATTGCCCAGGCTGGTCTCAAACTCCTGTGCTCAAGCGATCCTCCTGCCTTGGCCTCCCAAGGCGCTGGGATCACAGGTGTGAGCCACTGCATGAGCTAAAAGCTGTCTTGGAGGGAGGAAAAGCCAGGGGAGAGGAGGGTGGAGAAAGGGGATAAATGGAAGTGAGAGGGGATAGGACTAAAACCTCATTCAGCAATTACTGATGCCTGTCATGTGCCAAGCTGTTCTTTAGATGCTGGATAGAAGCACTGAACAAAGTGCCTGTCCTCCTGGAGTTTATGTTCCAGTGAGAAGAAGCAGACAAGAAGTGAGAGTACCATAAGTTATGTTAGTGTGGGACCAGTGTAGAGTACAGGGGTCATGGAGAAAACAAAAAGGAAATAGGAAGCGCTGGGGGCCGGGCATGGTGACTCACACCTGTAATCCCTACACTTTGGGAGGTTGAGCTGGGAGGATCACTGTAAGCCAAGAGTTCAAGACCAGCCTGGGCAACAAAGCGAGATCCCCAACTCTAATGTTTCAAAAAAATAAAAAGAGTTCCTCAGCTTTCCTGTGACGCTTCAGCTCATGAGTGACTTAGTAAGAGAGTAAGAACTTGGACTCCAGAGTCCATCATCTTAATCTGCGTATATCCCACCTCCCAGTGAACCTGTCTGGGGCCCAAAGTTCAAAAGTGCTGGGGTGGAACCAAGGTTAAAAGGTAGATCCAGCCAGTGCAAAGGATCACACCCGTAATCCCAGCACTGTGGGAGGCCGAGGCGGGTGGATCACCTGAGGTCAGGAGTTCGAGACCAGCCTGACCAACACGGTGAAACCCTGTCTCTATTAAAAATACAAAAATTAGCTGGGCATAGTGGCCAGCACCTGTAATCCCAGCTATTCGTGAGGCTGAAGCAGGAGAACTGCTTGAACCCAGGAGGCGGAAGTTGCAGTGAGTGGAGATGGCACCACTGCATTCCAGCCTGGATGACAGTGAGACCCTGTCTCAAAAAAAAAAAAAGGTAGACCCAGGGGAGTAGAGTGTGTTAGACAGGAACTGGCAGGTGGCTGTGTGGGAATCAGGAGTCTGGGTAATAAAAGTCTTATTCAGACAGAATGGGGGTGGAGGTAGTGAAGAGGACCAAGACAGACACAAACCCCACGCCACCACACTGCTCACTCTCCCAAGCCCTGAGGCAGGGACTCACCTGAGGCTCTGGAAACTTCCAGCCTGTGCCCGCTCAGGGGTCCTCTCCTCAGGGAAGTCCCAGGAAGCAGCTTCTCTTCCCTCTTCTTCCTCCTCGCCAGCCTCACCACACAGCTGCCCAGCCAGGAGAGGCACAAGTCCCAGAGCTTGGAGCCGGCCCAGGGCCCCAGTGTCATACAGAAAGCCCACAAGGGCAGCCACAATACGAGGGTGCCATGCGCTGGCACGAGGGTCCCGCAGCAGGCCTATCAGTAGATCCAAGCCACCAGCATCCCGCAGCCGGGCCCGGTTGATGGCCTCACGACACAGGAGGCACACAGCCCGCACCAGGGGCTGCTGGGAGGCTGGACTAGCTCCATTAGGACCCCGGCGCTGCCGAAGCTCATCTACCAGCACCTCCACCCCACCAGCATTGCCCAGTGCAGGCCGAATCAGGCCCTGGGCACACAGGTTGGCGAGGATCAGAATGGTTCCCTCGCGTACTACCCGCTTGGGGTGGGATGCCAGGCTGACGAGTGGGCCCAGTCCCCCACCCAGACTTAGCTGCTCAGCACAGGCCCGGGAGCAGCCTCGGCTGAGTTCCAGGAGGGCACGGACGAGGGCTGAGGTCAGTGCAGCATCTGGGGCAGTGGCTAGGAGCTCGGCCAGAGGGCGCACTGCTCCCTGCTGTGCCAGGGCCAGGCGGTGCTGGGGTGAGTCTGCCAGGTTGCGGAGGGCACGCACCACGCTCTGCAGGCACTGTGAGTCCTGGCAGGCTGTCAGGCTCTCCACAAGCAGGGGAACAGCACCTGAGGGCAGGAAAGAGGAGCACAGAGGGTGAACAAGGACAGACACTCAAGCCTTTCTTCCACTCCAAGCCCTAGCAGATCCCACCCTCAAAGCCTCTCACCAGCACAGTGGATGTCCCCACAGCTCTCAGGTTCCATGGCTAAGTTCCCCAGGGCACGGGCCGTTCGGTTCTGGATGCTGTCTGTCTTCATGCACTGAAGAATGGTCACTGCAAGGAGAGTTTGGGCTTGTGAGGGTTCTACCCCTTACTGTCTCTCTCATCAGTCACCTCGAGAATGTGGCCTGAGAGGCCTGGGAAGGCTTTCAAAAGAGGCTAATGCTCGGCAGGGCACAGTGGCTCAAGCTTATAATCCTAGCACTTTGGGGGACCAAGGTGGGTGGGTCACTTGAGGTCAGGAGTTCGAGAACAGCCTGGCCAACGGGGCCAAATCCCATCTCTACTAAAAATACAAGAATTATCTAGGTGTGGTGGTGCGTGCCTGTAATCCCAGCTACCTGGGAGGCTGTAGCAGGAGAATTGCTTGAACCCAGGAGGCAGAGGTTGCAGTAAGCTGAGATCGTGTCACTGCACTCCAGCCCAGATGACAGAGCAAGACTCCATCTCAAAAAAAATTAATAAATAAAAGGAAGAGGCTAACACTCAAGCTGGGTCTGGAGGGGTACACAGGAAGGTATTTGCCAGAAGTACAGTGGATGGGGGAGTGAGAAGGCATTTCGGGTTTGGAAGTAGCCTTTCCAAAGGCCCAGAGGTAAGATGCAGTGTCTGTGAAAGGCTTCAAATGTCAGGCCAAGGGATCAGGACTTGAATGTGAAGGCACTGGGGGCCACACAAGGGTTTTATGAAGGGGAGTGACATGATACAATCTGGCATCCATAGGGAGAATGCATTATGGGGGAAAGAATAGGAAGGGAGGAGTCAAAAGGCTATCATAATAGCCCAAGCATGAAAAGACAATAGCTTGAACCAACCCAGCTACCAGCATCACACAGCACAGAGGTACCAGTCTCTGGGCACACAACGGAAGTAGGGAGAGAGAGAAGCATGAAAAATATGAAAAATAGTAGCTGAGTGATGGGGGTTATTTAATAACCAAGGCTCTTATCAAACATAGATGGTCCAGATGCATTTTATGTAAATTTTAAATACATTAATGTTTCCCTTTATCCAAAAAGTTAAGATGTCATCAAAACTAGCTTAATTTTGTGGAAGGCAGGTAGTGACATGTAAACTGCTTTCACACACTGCCACTAGGAGGCACCAATTTAGCTGGTAAACAGAAAAGCTTCTGTTTTGCTAGGATTTGTTCTTACTGTGCTGGTTTTAATTATTTTTATTTATTTTTTCCTGCTTCCTAAGTGACTACTGGTTTGTTTAGTTTTCTAAAATATGAGGTCTTGTTATGTTGCCCAGGCTGGAATGCAGTTCCTATTCACAGGCACAGTCATTGTTCGCTGCAGCCTCTACTTCCCAGGCTCAAGGGATCCTTCCCCCTCAGCCTCTCAAGTAGCTGGAACTACAGGCGTGTACCACTGCACCCAGCTTATGCTAGTTTTTAATAAGCTGAAGTCCCCATGCTTAGAATATTTGTATATTCGTACTATATTTGTACTTCGTTTTCTCCCCACTTTGATTTTCTGAGGTAGCTATCACTGTCCCATTTTACAAGGAATCCTAGCCTCAGAGGGGTTAGGTGACTTTTGCAGAACTCCCTTTCTGAACCACTACACCTTCCAGCTCAACAGTGGGACTTCAGAACCTTGCACAGGGCCGGACACATAGTGGGCACTGAATATCTGCTATGAACATCATAACTGGAGAATAAGAATCATCTGGAAAAGTCACCAAATAACCCTTTGGCCTCCGCTAGTCTAGCTTCGAAAGAAGTCCTCAACAACCAATTCCTAGATAATGGCTGTAATTATCTGGTCTGGGAGGGCTCTCTCTCATCTAAAGAGACAGCAGTGACGTCACGGGGCACAACAGCTTGAGAAACAGGAGCGGTGCGCCATCACAAAGCACGTTATTCCGGGATATGACACAAAGAACTCCAAACTCCCGGCCCAGACAGCGAGCGAATTGCAAACCCAATCTTTCTAGGAAACGGAGGCGGAGCACTTACCCAAAGGGAGTATGCCTCCGAGTCTGCGCACTTCGGCCCGGCACGCCCCTTCCGTACAGCAATCTGCTAGGATGCTAAGCGCCAAGTCCAGCGTCTTGCGCAGGCGCACTGGCGGTGAAGGCGTAGACGACGGCACAGAGGAGGGGGCGGGGCCCGACGATGCGGGGGCGGGGCTAGAAGCTGCTGACGCGGCCGAGGGGGCGGA